GCATATGGTGGTGCTGCTGCCGTTTAGGGGAAATGAGGAGGTGGTGGTGGAGTGGAGGGAGGCAGGTTGGGCGGCGGGCGGCGGTTTCCAGAGGGAGAGAGGGGGAGGAGAGAATGGGGGAAGAGGTAGGGTTGATTTAAAGATATAATTAATATTAATTTAATTGAGGTGAAATATATAATTAATATTAATTTAAAGATAAAAAACCTGATTTTTGAAAAGTTAAATATGTAACCTGATTTTTGAAAATGGATATCTAAAATCAGGCCTAGGTGTAATTTCCTCTATGAAATATTCCCTTTCTTAATTCATTGCCAAATGCGGAATTTGAAGCTCAAGATTACAACTATAACTTGGACTGGCCAATTTTGAAGCCCAATATTTTTGCAATTGGACTGAGCCTAATTTGAAGCTCAACAGTTTGGCACAAGTTTGGACCGCAGTTGACAAATACCTAAAGGTGGCGAACAGGTCGAGCCGAATTCACTTTTTTTTTTTCATGAGCCAACTCATTTGGGCTTGTGGATCGGCTGGTTTTCTCCTAATTTTGGACTTTTTTTAAAATTTATTTTTGTTAAAAAAAATTGCTCACTTTTGAACTTATTTTCTTAATTTATTATATGAAAAAAAAATGAGATGACTCGTGGACAACTCGACTCGAACCATGAGACCCACAAACCAAATGATTGAGCCAATCCTAGAATTTGGACACTATCCGAGCTCGGCTTAGCTCAGGTGTCTTCTGCAGAGCCGGTCCAACTCATTTCCATTCCTATGCGTCAGTTAGCTAATGACACGTAAATCCTTGAGACAGATTCTTCTTTTCATTCTGATCTATTGAACTCGATTATTCACCATTCATGCGATAAAAAGATTGGAATACAATCACCTAATACAAGTGGCATCGCTGACAAATTAATTGTTATTCGCTAGTCATTCTTGCAGTACAGTACTAAAATCTTAACTAGAAAGCTACTAGCTAGTTACAAAGGAAGGATGTACATTCATTCATTGGTCTGTCACTATCTACATATTAAATGCCCCCCCTTACTTAGTCAATTAATCATGCATAAAGATTAACCCAATCATACCCATGAATATAATTGTTTTCTGGCACGTAAAACACATTCTCTAATCCCTCCATTCCAAATTCCCCTAAGAAAGGTGCCTCCATCGAGAAAGAAGAACTCGGACTTTTGCTCGAAAATCGCTCAGTTAAACTTTGTATCTCCTTCTCCGCTTCACATAGCTGTTCTTTTAGCTTTAAAACCTGTCAAAAAAAAATAAAAAAATCAGCAAATGAGCAACAAGTGTGCAGATACTGTGTATCCACGCCACGTGAGAGGGAATGGCATGTGCCGGAGTTGGAGCTGGACCACCAACTGTGTACGGACCTTTGAAACTGGGGATGTGGTACATTTTGCACTCTTTTATGGTGGGTGGCAGACTCCATTAGTAAAAAACTACAAGATGTGACCCATCTTTTCGAGCCCAGACTCCAAAATTTACTGTTTTTTACTTACATATGTGGTTTTATTTGCTTAATTCTGTTAATACATGCAGATAAATTACCAATGAAAATAGTAATGTAAGAAACTTTTACACAAGAAATCCTTGTATTCGTTTGGTTCTCTATACTGATAAAAGAAACGTACGGACCTCGTTTTCAAGCCTGCATTTCTCAACGACAGTGGTTTCATGTTGAGTCTTCAACTTGGAGTATTCTTCCTCCATCTTCTTGCTCTTCCATCGAGCTCTTCTGTTTTGAAACCACACCGCAACTTGTCGAGGGTCAAGACCGAGATCCGAGGCAAGCCTGTCCTTCCTCTCAGACTCCAATTTGTGTTCATCTTCAAAACTTTGCTCCAATAGATTCATCTGTTGTTCACTCAGCTTTCTCTTCCTCATCGCCCCACTGCTCCCCGCCTCGCCTTTGTTCTTCTTTCGCCTACGCCTAATCCTGGGCTTTGCTTCCACTGACAATCAACACCAAGTAGGCATCAATATATATCAATAAAATACACAATATTTATTGAAATAAGGTTGTGAACATCACGGAAATCTCTAAATGTTGTAAAGTATAGACCAGTCCCGCGTACCAAACATGTTTAGAATCGAGTACTGACCTTGTTCTGGAAGGAGTTGGTCGTATATCACTCCAGGATAGTACTGAGGAATGAGTACCATTTGATCATCATCAATTTGATTCATGCTTCTTGTTGCATCTAAGAACTTCTTGGTTGCATGTGGGAGTGAAAATCAGAGGAGAAGGCTGTTGCCCTGTTGCCTTAGGAATGGAATAGTACAGGGAAGACTTTATTTATAAACCTAGATACTTGAAATGAGGCTTGGTCTTGTCCAAAATATCATGAATGCCATTGTGTCATCAAAAATTGAAGATTTGTCAAATTCGGAGAGTTGGATTGGGAAGGGCAATAGCATTTCTTTGGTCTGATTTGGCGAAACTTGACTCGGATAATGGATGGATTTCTTCTTGAATTTAAACACCTTTGATTTTTATAAAATGCTGGAATTATGCATCAAATAATTCCCAATATTACCAACAGAAACGGACCCCATAGAGTTCCTTAGGATCTTTATTTTTCTGATGAGGAAAGATTTCATCTTTGAAACATATCTTATGATGTTGATTCTAAATATTTTGTGTTTGCCACGATGACATCCTAAAAATTATGAAAGCTACGTGAACTCAATCAAAGTGAATTATTTTTTACTACTCTTGCATGTATTCGCTATGACATTTCGAGGCCTGAAATTAATCAAGAAGAAATACATCAATGTTACTATGTCTAGTAATACGTCTATGGTATGTTTGTTATAGGGGTTTGGATTGTATCATGGACGGTATTAAAGAGAGAAAAAAATTAAAATTTTGTTTTTTATACTATCATTTAGCCTTTGTTTGGAGCTCATTCTTCAACTCCTAAGTGGGAAAAAAATGACAGTTGGGTGAGAAAGTGGGACCCACCCGTGAGACAAATGGTCAAAATGGTGGCTGAATTTGAAGTGTAACGGTCAAATAATGTATTTTTTTGGTGGAAGAATGAGCTTCGAACAGCGGATTAATCATGTCCAGAGTACCGTCGTCTTCTAAAAATACATTTTCTTTGGACTAAAACCACTTCGTAAGTATACGGCTATACCAAAACTAGTAAAGATCATCAACTAGAAGCAAGTAAATATTTATAGAGAATCAGAGAAAGGATGAGTGGATAAAAAATTCCCTATGGATACGATAAGGATGTAAAATCAATTATCTTACTCTTTTCACGGAAAGTGGCTCCGAGATGAGGGAAGTGACTTTGTATTTGGCTTTCCCAATTGGGCAAATAATAAAGAGAAAGAAAGAAGAAAAACAAGTGTGCGCTAAAATGTTGAGTTGGGATCCCAAACCTGTGATTAAAAAACTACAAATATTTAAGGTTGGCCTCTGAATTTTGGACGTGCAATGCAACTTTTGTTGTCCAATTAGGTGGCTAATTTAGAAAAAACAAAAGGTTGAACCCCAACCTTGAGGGCCCTCCACCGCCCCGTCCCTAGAGCATTCTGGAGAATGTAAATCGCGAGATGTGTCTCAGTAGGTCATGGTACAAGATCGTCATACTGGTACCCACAAAGAGTCCAATTCCATACCTTGTAAAAGATTGGAATTGAACATTCACATTGCGGTTGCCAGGTCAACCGAAACTACCTCATCCATGTCCTTTGCACCACTGAACTATGTCTCGAGAGGCGATATATGGCTAATTTTCTTTTGAGTAGCAGCACGTGTGTGGCTCGAGATGAATGAATAGTTAATAACAAACACTTCACCACAATCGTTGGTTGATCAAGATACAGATATCTGATAAAGCCCCAAGTGGTCTGTGCTTGGGATTTTACAAATTTTTATTTTCATTCTTTCTTAACACATGCCCGTGTAACCATATATGAGCTTAGAATGGCTCGAATGCGGAGTGGGGTCGATCCACGTATTTCGCAGCCAGGACTTGGGTCATGTCTTGATTACACTTTTCCCATGGTGTGAGTCTGATTCATTATGTCACTTTGACACTTTTTGTTAAATTTGTATAGGTCTATAGCAACACGACTAGTTAACGAGTTCTCCTTCTTTACAATACTTAACGTGTTTCAGGGATCGGAGTGGCTGTCTCAAAGTAAGATTAAAAAATCCTCGACAAATATCATTTTGTCTTACTTTTTCAAACGTATTTGAATTTGAGCAAATTCTTTGAGTCAAATATTCCAATGTAACTATTAAAAAAAAAAAAAAAAAATCCCTGTTTTGTTCTGTCCGAAATAATGGTGAATAGCACAGGTCGCTCTCTCAGACAGAAAGCCTGTTAGTTTTATCCGAATTGTTTTTATTTATGAAAATGAAACGAGATATTAATTTTACGAAGAAATAAAGGAGAATGAGATTGGTTTGTTGAAGTGGAACAATTACGTGGATGAAATTGACCGTCCACTCATGGAAAAATAAGAGCCCAGACAAGAAAAGCATGCTCACTTTGTCTGTCCTTGAAAAGTTCTTGTCGCAATGGAACCAAGCTAATCTCCACACTTGAGGGGAGGGGCCATGTCCATAGGAACTGGATTTTTACGAAAAAATATATATATATATATGCTTCCGAATGAATTGTATTGGGTACCATTGAGTTGTGTTATGAACAAAAATTTAACTTTGTAATAATATTAAATGTGTCATCAAGAATAATTTATGAATCGTTTTGCAAAACCAGTCCATTTGTCGTTGCAATTCAAAAATAGACGTGATATTAAGTGACTTAATTAAAATAATCTTTTAGTTATTTCTCTTATTTGCGTGTAGGGATATTATATGCTTTGTTTGAGCCCCTGTTTGGTGCAAATTTTTGCTCTAAGAATGCATTTTTTTTGGTTGATGCGATAGGGAAATATGTGGTTGAAAAAAAAGGAAAAATTATTGATATGATGAAAAATATTATTTTATTGAAGAATGTATGGTTGAAAATGAGTATAAGAATGAGAATGAACAAAATAATGTAGCTCAAATAGGGGCTGAACCCTTTTTTTTTTGTGAAAATAGTTTTTGTAATAGTAATTTTTTGGGGAATGAGTTGCTAAAGTGAGAAAAATCTTCGATTTATATGTAAAATTATTTTATTTTGAGAACGTGTAATTGAAAATGAATTTGAAGAAAAATTGAGTTTTTTAAGGAATGAGATTCTAACTAGGGATGTCAACGAGTTGAGCCAAACAAGCTCGTGAGCCGAAACTTGAGGCTCAGGTTATGTTGGAGTAAAAATGGTTCGGACTTTATTTGGCAAAAAATTTAGAAGCTCGAATCTTGTCGAACCAAGCCAGCTCACGATTTTTTAATATCAGGCAACTACTTGCAAAGGCAGCATGTATTGCTTGTAATTGGGTTTTAAATTTTATTTTTAAATTTATTTTTTAAGGCCTGGCTCGTCATGTACCGAAAATAATCCGTGACCCGAGCTAGCTCGTGCTTGCAAAGGCAGCATGTATCTGCTTGTAATTGGGTTTTAAATTTTATTTTAAAATGTGGAAATTACATTGAGCCATACATTTGAAAATTCAATTTCCAAAATTAGATTTGGTGTTTTAAGTTTCAAAAATCAGATATTTTAATGTATAGATACAGATTTTTTATATTTAATTAAATATTAATAAAAATATTTTGAAAATTAAATTATAAACACCCCACCCCACCCCACCCCTAAAATGATAAAACCTAACTTCTCGTCATTTCTCTCCCCCTCTATCGCTGCTCTCTCCGTTGTACCTGGCTGGCGGCGCCAGCGCCGGTGATGCTCTCCTTCCCCTCCTCTCCCTCCCCTTCTTCTTCGGCGATTTTGTAAATCGCAGCGCTGCTGCGACGCCGGCAGCAGTGTCGCGAAGCTGCTGCCCAAATCGCAGCAGCGTCGACGCTACTGCCCTTATGAGATGGTGGATCTGGGGGTTTTTGTGGTGGTTTCCATATTTGGTGTGGTGGAGTGAGGTGGTGGATCTAGGGGTTTTTGTCTAGTGTTTGGGGGTTTTTGTTGGGTGAAGTGGTGGCGGGTTCTGTTAGTGGCGGTTTGTTGGTGGCGACGTTGTGGTGTTTGTGGCGGTGGTGCTGTTGTTGTAGTGGTTGACGGGTGATGGGGATGATGGTGTTTGTGGTGGTGGTGGCGTCGTCGACCATCGTGTGAGGGTGGTCGCAAGTGGCGGGTTTTGAGNATATTTATATGTATGTGTATATATATGTCAAATTCTCTAATTTTAGAAAAGTGAAAGATGTTTTATCATTTTTGAAATAGGCCAAAGAAAACATCTGAAAACTGAATTTTTCCCTTTTAAAATTTATTTTTTAAGGCCCGGCTCGTCATGGACCGAAAATAACCCGTGACACAAGCGGCTCGTGCTTGCAAAGGCAGCATGTATTTGCTTGTAATTATTGGGTTTTAAATTTTATTTTTAAATTTATTTTTTAAGGCCCAGCTCGTCATGGACCGAAAATAACCCGCGAGCGGGGCCAGTTTGGATTTATGGAAATGGCCAAGCCACGGGTGGCCTAACTAGCGAGCGAAATTGACACCATTAACTCTAATAGGGGCAAAATGAGTCGAGTCAAGAGACTCGGCTCAGCCCACAATGTGAGTCAGCTCGCGTTTGCATATGGATTGAGCCAAGCAATAACTGACTAGTTTCGAAAACTCTCTGATCTGCTCGCCCCACCAACTCACTCCTTGGTGGGGCTCGTTGAGTCAACTCGCAAGCCACTCTCGACTTGTGCTTCTATTATTTAGTAGAAAATTACATTTCACTTCTCGATAGTGAGTTTGTGAGAAGTTTACATTGTTTGACTCGTCCCACTTTAGATCTCTATTTGTGTGTCGCGTCTACTTTCAAAATTACTATATTAAGTTATTGACACTCATAATGATGTTTCTTTTGAATAAAACTTCTTTACCAAAAAAATGCCCAGCATGTAGACCTCCAATAATACTTTTCTGTTGATCCAATCACTATGATTAATTCTGTAGATCTATAATTATTGTATGGAAGATAAGAGCTGAGAAATTTATGGAAGAATAACTACCATATATGTCAAATTAGGATAAAACTTCTTAGTTAAACAATTAATTACATGCTTAAAATGGAAAACCAAATTGGTTGAGGAATAAATTTCACAGCCAGCCTTA